GCCTTACTTATTTTCCTTCCTTTAAAGAAGTTCATCTCAAGCTAAGTAACTCGTCAAAATATTGATTTTTATCAGCGAAAGGCTTCTTTCTAAAGGCCACTCAGGCACTTGCATACAATCGAGGTGCCGTATCCGAATTATTCGTACATTTGGTCACCAGTCACACAATACATACATACATAATGTAATTATTAGTAAATCTTACCAGACAACATCTCTGACTGGCTGGAACTTGGCGAGTGGCTGACAAAATAAAGAAAGGATCAGCAGTCAAAAGTCAGAACCACAAATAAAATTAGGTCAGAAATGTAATTATTGAGACTGAAATGGCATTTTTAACCCAAAAAAGGATCCTCAATTCGATCATTACTAGAAAGTGCGACCACGACATTGGTCGTGGAGGGAGGGAACAAGTTATTTTTAAAGTCACCCCCCGATTCCAGTCCAAGCTTTGTTAAATCTTCGATTTCGATTTCCATCAAAATCCAATATTACTTCCATCGAATCGGAGAAGACGACGACGATGGAGAGATCGGCGTCTGTGGACGGCCGTTTCGGTGGTGGCAACCAGTTTTATTCTCCATCATTCTCTTCCTCTTCTTCTCTCAGACATGTCAACTACAGGTAATCGATGTCTTGATTTGATTTAGGGTTTTTGATTCTTCTCTTCTTTGATCAAAAAATCTCGTTTTTGTTGTTGGTGAAATCTATCTGGGATTAGTCTTGATTTAGGGTTAAAAGATCTCTGATTTAGGGTAATGATCTACGTCGAGACAGAACCCTTGTTTCAATTTTGATTCTTTGCAAAAGAACTGTGAATAAGATTTGGTAAATTTTTAGACTTTCGTGTTTAGCTTGGTTCATCATTTCTATGACTAGTTTGAGGCAAAATTGTGAATCAGGAATATGTTTTGTTAGATAGTGTGGATTGGTATATGTACTGGTGAAACTCTGTGAATCTTCAGTTTGTTTGGTGTTGTGTTGTTTAGAGAATTTAACTTAAGACTCTCAACATTTACTTTCTTGCAGTTGTGGATCTTGCGGGTACGAACTGAACCTGAGCTCTACAAATCGGATCACGTCCTCGATCGGATCCAAGTACGGGAAATCCATCAAGAGTGGAATCATATCTTTCTTCAACATCGATGAGGGTAGATTCAGTCAGGTCGATGAGTTCCAATGCATGCCTCATTTCTCCAGATACTCTTGGGGTTTGTTCAGACGCAGAACTAAGCTTCTCTGTCGCAAATGTAATAATTATATCGGCAATGCTTCTCAGGAGAAGACTTCCGGATACGCACTTGTAACACAGAACTCCACTTCGCCAAACAATGGTGTCACTGGTACTACTGTAAACAAGTACGATATCAGGATTCGCGCGCTTCAACCCTCTTCGAATCTCGCTTCACTGTGAGTGCGTCTTATACTACTACTACTACTGTACATACCCGACGATATTCGACAACATCTTCAGAGTATCCAATATAGAATCCTTCATGGAGTGTTTTGTATCGTCTAGGTACTGTTTTGATAAGGTGGGTTTGGCTTTTCAATTGTATGTATAGTAAGAACAATTTGCCTTACGTTTCTGGGAATTCTGAGGGGAAGTGTGTTTCACTTGCTCATCATATTCATCACTTGTGTTTACCAATTTTATTCAAACAAAAATTTACTAATTTAGTGTTGAACCATCCAAATACTGTGTATCTTTTGAGGGGTGAGCGTTCGGTCTGGTTAGGGTTATTCGGTTTTCGGGTTTTTTGGTTTCTACAAAATTGAGCCCATTTGATTTTATATTTTAGTTCGGCTTGGTTTATTTTGGGTTTCTCGGTTTTCTATTTCTGAAAAATAGATCCCATTCTGTATCAA